CTCTCTTTCCAAGGCAAGGAGTCATGGAGCACCACGTGCTCATAAAAGCAGAGGGGGAGCCAATGTTTGGTTCCCGCCCGCTTTCATGTTGAGCTGATTTTCATAGGGGATAGGGCCTTCTCATTACGTACTTCCAAAGGTAACGAAAGAATGGATGAAATGAAGAAAAATGGTTCTACTCACAACTGTACTTCTCACAATTAAGGCACATTATACTATATAATTGTAACATATAAATATGGAAAAAAAGGTCAACTTTTACAATGCAAACCCATTGTAATGCTTACTTCATCTGTTGATGAATTCCCATACAGATATTTATAAACATTTCAGTATTTCGTAATGGAATATTTCAGCCATCTTCAATGCATTGCGTTTTAATTCAGAAATCTGAATTTTTACAAAACACAGTTGTGCAGGTGCAACTGCACCAGGGGCTCCAATTTTGTTTGCTTTGCATTTAATGTTTGTTATAGTCCTAAGTTTCAGGGACTCTGCAGATAGGTGGCTTCTTTTGGCTGCAATCATAGGGCAAGCCACCTGTCAATTATAGTTAGGTTCCCTGGTCCCACCCCTTTGGGTTTTTGGAGGGAATAGGAGCCATTTTGGATTCAGTCCACACAGAGAAGCCTTTCATGCAGGACATAATATCAAGAGCTCCTGTAGAAAGCTTCGTCTTCTACAGCTTGGCCGGGGAGATATACAGCCCACAGCTTGGCCGAGGATCATACAGCCTTACAGCTCCTTTGCTGAGGGACTTCTGCCAGCCATCACCAAAACCTGAACTCCTTTTTCCCTGGAAGTCTACAAAGCTCTGCTTGGTAAGGGTCACTCGCGGAAGCCAGAAGCAGTTGGTACCGGGTGCAGGGCTCCACGCCATCAGAGGCAAAGACAGACTGCCCAGATTAGAAGTTAAGGATTTCCCCATTAGTTACAGTTAAGAAGATAGTGCCTGTTCCCTGTGGACAAGATTGAAAGAGCCAATAGACTGTTAAGAAAGCCTTAAAGTACCTGTTTGTTTTCATTAATAAAGAACTTTGTTGAACCTTTAAGTATTCTAGAGACTGTGTTTTAAGGAAATCCAAAGGCCTTTAATCTGAGGCAGCCCCGGCGTCCCATTGGGCACACAGAATTTATGTCCTGTCTACAGTTTGATGCACAGGCCCAGCGTGCGACAGCACAGTGAGTATTCCTTAGTCCTACCCCAGGCCCTCCCCAAGATTTTGACATTGCAATATAATATATATCCTTGACCAAAGAACAATACATTTCTTCTGTCTGGGCTGGTCGTCCTCTTTCACTGAGCACACAACTTTGGGAGAGATGCATGTGGAACTTGTTAGTTGGTAGACTTTGTGGCCAAG